GTGTTTGGATTTCATTAATTTTGCCATGTGTATGTTCCTTTTTACAATTTTGATTATTTTTATTTACTTTGTTAATGCTTTGTTTGTAGGAGACAAACAATGAAGACTCTTCTTTTCTTGTTGTGATGAAACAAACTCATCAGAAACCCGACGAAACATACGTTGATGAAAGAACACGTTAAATTGCAGAAAAATATGATGAGCATATGCAAGAATGTTTGTCATAAGTGGAGACTTCCAATGGGGAGTCATTAGCATGCTCTTTCATCAATGTACGTTTCGTCTAGTTTTTGATGAGTTTTTTTTCATCACAACAAGAAAGAAAGAGTCTTCATTGTTTGCTTCCTACAAACATAACAGTAACAAAGTAAATAAAAACTATTAAAATTGTAAAAAGGAATATACACATAGAAAAATTAATGAAACTGAAACACTACCAAAACATCTTGAACTTTAGCATAAGAATTAGAACTGGTTATGTGTCGATGAGCACCTAAACCGTTACAGTTAAATAGTCGAGAAGCACATGCTTTTTCGCTTTTCTCTTTGGCTTTTGGTGTCCTCCAATAAGTTAACATCTCACTCAAATGGTCAAAGAGAATCCACTCAGATTTATCTCGTTTAGACTTGGCTAGACTAACCATTCCTTTGAGGCAAGTTGTAGCAGGCTCATCAAAATTGGATATAACTAGATGCTCAATCAAGATATCACACCAAACATTGTCTTAAATACATATAATATCAGACATATGTAAAATATAAAATCATTCTAAAAAATATTAGATAGATAATTACTAAAACGAACCTTAGACGTAGAATACCAAATACTACGCTTCTTTATAAAGCAACGGCACTTTTGACCAGTTGTTCCATGGTCCCTTAAAAGTTTTTCCAATGATCTTTCTAACACAGGTTGATATTTAACCGGTTGCACATGTAGTTAACGTATTTATGTTTATAGATATTATATGAAATAGAGTGTTTAAAATAAATTAAATACCATTTTGCTCTATTTTGTCGAGATGGATGCAACATTGTAGAACAATTGCGTAATTTCTTCTCCATGTTCTCTTGGTACATGAGGTGCAACCGGTGAGGCCGAGGAAACCACCGATTATAAGGAAGGAAATGGACGACGACAACAACAACAAAGGGATCCAAAACTGAAAAAGGAAAACACCGAAAAAGATAATCATAAACTTTGTGTTATTGTGTATCCTAGAAAAAAAATTAGATCTAAGATCATAATCTAAACCACCGATGAGTAAAAAATGGTTTTAAAGCACATATCTCTCAACTGATGTAGAGAAAAAAACATACACAAAAACTAAAAACTCTTAGGGCTTCGTTTCGTTAGGTTCATGCCACTTAAGATTGGGCTTTATAAAGGCCCAATAGCAAATTACGCCCTCTCTCTCTCTCGATCTCGAATAGCTCGACTTGGCCTTCGGGACCTCTTGGGTTCCTTGACGAAGAAGACGATAATTCTTCTTCTTCGATCTCAACAAGACGCCAAATTTTTCTTCAGTTACATCGTTTTTGGATTCTGAGCTCGATTTCTTAGTGGAACGAGTTTGGATTTCACAGTATTTACAGGATTTAAGCAACACTTGTTCTCCGGAAGTTAAGGCTAATGATGTCGCCGAAGCAAATCTCCGACGATCGAGGATCTTCACATTTCAGGTTAGCTTCATACCTAAACTTTCGATTTAATCACTTGCTGTGATTTCTTCTTAGCTAATTTGATTCTGTAGAAACGAATTGAGAAAAAATCGAAACGGAAGCTTCTTCTTCTTGCTGCGATGGAATTGATTCAAATTGCGATGAAATGTGTACTGTAGCTTGGGTTTACTGTTTTGGGGTTTATTATCGCTCTGAATTGGATATCACATTTCCTCGATTTTGCTAGCAGCATCATTAGGTTGAAACTTGAAGCACTGATTTAAGCTTTTTAGTTCACTGCGTTGTGTTCAATACTATGGAATCTAGTGAATAGAACCACATTAGAAGCTTTTTTTTCTTTCGTAATACCGAAGTTCCTGTGATAACAAGTTCAAGATTTCGTGTTAATTAGTTTCTGATTCTGTATGTTATGTTCATTGCTAGTAGTTAGGTACATATAAATCCTAGAGGTTTGGAGTTCTATGTTGGGAAATCTTATTGATTGTTCGGAAGGATAGCTTTGTGCATATTTCTAGTTATTCTTACCCATTGCTACAATTGATTTGCCATTGGCTTAGAATTGAGTCTTTTTTGGTATTCTGAAACCAAATTTTAGTTTTTTTGGAGTCATGAGTTTTGCCCTCTTTATTTGCAGGCATACTCCTTTCCAGATAATCCATCTCATCGGGAACTTTTTTAGGATATGGTCAGTTTATTCTCTGTACCGATACTTGAATCAGACAGGAGCGCCTGTTGTTCTCTTTCTCTTCTGCTGTCTGGTGCCATCATCTATCATCTTCTTGATACTTCAGAAACCATGGAAAGGAAGGGCACTTTCCAATCAACAGGTTTACTTAGTCATATCCAATATATTGCATGTATATTTGATACATATATATAAATGGGAGAGTTTGGAATAAATTATTCCTTTTCTGTTTTAGTTACTAATTTCTGAGACGTCTTTTGCTTCTTTCAGATTGTACCTTCTCTTATCAATGGAGTCATCACAGCTCTATACTTCATCTTGTGGGGAAAGGGTCTTAAGTCTTGTGGACCGCTTAGGTATTCATTAGTTATTAAGCATTTATACGACCATACATTCTCCTCTTTTCTCATCTGTCATACTGTCTTAGAATGTATTCTAGATCTCCTGGCTTCTGAAAGGTAGGGAGGTTGAAAGTTTACCTCTGAACAAGACGGTCCCACTTTAGCAGTTTAGTTCAATGCTTATCGAGATTGTGGACATACGATTCTTTCTGCAGTTTGCCCCATTTTATGCTCCATTTCTTTCTGTTGAAAATTGGAGTCTCCTTGCTAATTCTCTTTGTATATTATTGGCAGAGCTATCTTGTCAGAGTACTCTGGTGCTGTTCTTGGGGTACTTTCTGGAGTATTATATGGACGGAGAGGCCATGTATGGAAAAAGGTATTCATCCCAATGTTTCTAATTTAACAATTGTCACTTACGTATCACCTCTAGTCAATGTAACCAGTTAACTAGCACGGTTTATTGTGTGTGAGTTATGTTTTTTATACGCCCGGATGTATCAGCTCACTTCTATCACAGAGAAACAATAGAGCTTTAACTTGTGCAATAGTTTTAGCATTGTGATTAGTGGGGATATGCTGTTCAATGTGAGAGATCAAAATAATGTTTATATATGAACAAGGATGAAACTCTCATATTTGCAAATCATGTCAGGTAGGTGGCCTTATTGCAATGCTGGTAGCTCTTTTTTTCTTGTCTCAAGGATGGGCGACATCATCTCTCTCCCCTTTTTATATCCTTTTACGCAACTTCTGTCTCTTTTGTTATTGTATTGTTTTTCCTCTCTCTTTATCTTGTTTCATATTTAAATGTCTATGGATAGTTTACACGATGGTTTGTTTGCCTTAACAACAAACTACCATCAAAAGATAGTACTGACACCAAAGAGGAAGAAGTACAAACAGAAGCACTAGGTCTGATGGGAATGATGATACCCGTTTTTGCTGGAATCTTATCAGCATTAAGGCGTGTTATTGCGCGGCGTGTTTCTCTGAAGGTACTACTCTCAGATTCTCTCAATTACGCCTGTCTATTTTCCTATCATTTCTGCTCTCTTTTCGACCAACCAATTCTCTGCTTTCACAGAACCAGCAGAAGAAACGACTGCATGCGATAACCATTACTTCTGCAACCTGTTTCTTGTTTCCTTTGGCCATGTGGGACCTTGTCATAGTAAGTGATGCTACTTGTTCTGCAATGAGAAGAAATAGTGTATCAAACAAAAATGATGTTTTCTCAATTATCCAAGGCCATGTTGGTACTAATATCAAATTTTACTTCAGGGGTCCTCTTCTGGGAAAACTTCTGAGTTACCATTTTCTGCGTGGGCTTTCCTTAGCACCATTCTTTTCGGGATTATCCTAATATTCTATGTTGACAATATCGCAGAAGAGAGGTTTTCCTTAAGCTTTTCCCTTTTATAAATCTGTACATTGCATTTTTCACACGCACCAGATGCTATATACACATGTATATATGTTGTTTTTGCAGATTGCATATGGTGTTTTCTTCCCCAAGGCATCTAATGGTAGCAGGTGCATGCATAATAGTCATGGAGATTGCATACGAGATGGATTTTTCTCTTCCCGGTTTCATTGTATGCTGCTTAGTATTAGGGTTTGGAATATTCGAAGCGACATCTCTAGAACGCAGCAAAAAAGACTCTTCCATTAAATCAGAAGATCTACCAGATAGAATCCTTGGTAATGACTTGGATACTTCTCCAATTCTTCCCATATAGCTAGCTACTATACTAACGACATCGTACTGTTGAATGTCCTTGTCCTTGACAATGTAAATCTTTATCTGTTTTTACTGGTTCTCAGTCTTCATACTTTGATTTTTTTCGTTTTTCTTGGTGAAGCATATACAATTTTTTGGTTTAGAGTAGCCAGGGATAGACATTGATGAACCCATGATGATTAGAAGAATGGAATTACATTAGCGTAACGCTAGAGAATGGATTTATGCCATAACAGAAGGTCTGTGGTACTTTTATTAGATAGAGCTTTACGCAACACTAACATATTTGAAGCAGAGAGAGAGCATGAAAGAAACAGAGTATATATCATACAACAGGAGCAATTAGAGGAGACAGGGTTTCTTTAGCCCCCAAGGAGGCAATGGTTTTCCTCTAGATTCTCATAACATCGAGGTAAGATTTTCCAGCGAGCTCACGGGAAAAGAAGCCATCGAAATACTCTTCCGTGTTCATGCTTTTGAAAAATGCAACCTTTTGCCTTTCCACGAGACTTGTCAGTGGAGCAATTTCTTTACCTACTCCGGGATTGTGAAATGCCGCAATAGAAAGTCTCTCTTTCTCTGAATTCACAACCGCGCAATGTTCTATACTTCGATATGTCCCATTCGATAGGATCTACATTTATTACCATACAATCGTCATAACAATTTACAATATGATACCAAGTATACCATATATAACTTACCTCTAAGATATCTCCAACATTGACAACGAATGCATTTGGGAGAGGTTTGACAGAGACCCACTTGCCATTTTTCTTGATTTGGAGACCTTCCACTTCATTAACCTGCAGCAGTATGGTGAGTCCTGTTGGATCGGAATGCGGAGTTACACCAATAACCTGATCGGGCTCTGGACAAGGCGGATAGTAGTTAATCCTCACTCTCTGCCCTAACTCATCATCAAACACCTTTTCCATTTCATCGGGTTTGATCTTCAAAGCTATCGCCATTTTCGCAAATAAGATCTTAGCTATGCTTTTCACTTCAGCCGAATACATATCTAGTGTATCTCTGGAGAAACATAACCAAAGTTTTTAATACAGGAAATCTTTGTGGAGTTGGCATGAATTAAATGGCTTTTACACAATTGAAGCAAACCTCAAAGGAAGAGATAACTTGGGAAACAAGCGAGGCTTGCGTAGACGAACAGGTTGCATTGTAAGGTAGAAAGAGTCTGCCCAATCGAGTTTCTGCTCTTCTGAAAACACAAAAGCTTGTCAAAATCCTTCGATATCATCAGGTTGTTGCCAAAGCTTCTTCTTGTCTTCCATGGGAAGATTGAAGAAATCTTGAATCTCCGACTTGATTTTGTCCAAGAAGCTTGACTCCATTCCATGGTTCACAAGCTGGAGGTAATCATAAAGACATAAAATCCTAAGTCAATAACTAGGATTCAATGTTGGGTAATAACACTAAAACACCTTACTACATTCAAAAATTTTACAAAAATGAGTTTGATTAAGCTTTTTTTATTTTCGGAATATCATCAAGTGAGTTGCACGTTTTATTTCCCTTCCAAAATTTCATGCTGCTTTTCCAATGACCGTTGAGACTTACCTGAAAAAATCCCCATTCTTTGCAAGCGAAGTCGAGCTTGTCAATCTCAGAATCCATGGAGGTGGTTGAAGAACACAAAAGATTCATGTCGATTACTGGGATCTCGGTTCTTAGACCAGTGTCATCCCCGGCGATCACAGTTTTGTCTTGGTCTGACCGTACATACCTCGCAGGAACCGTCGTGATCATCTTATCTTTCACCATCTCTTGAACAGAAGGAACTAAAATAGAGCTATACTGGCTCGCTACCTTGGAATTCATGGCTG